ACTGTTCGTTGTGCATTTTGACAACCCAAAGCCGATAAGAATGGTAAAAAATTGTATATAATATAATAATACTGCTTGACAACTTTTCAAAGATTATTTAATCAAGTACTAAAACTTTTCAAGGAAAATTCGCCATAAAAATACGCTGCAATCATGGATTTTCGATTCCCGAATATTTTCGAATCCCTGACACACGAATTGCAAACTCAGGAAGATGTGTCGCATATCATCATGACAATCGTGTGACCTTGACCTCAAGATCCACATACTAGATATTTTCGCGAAATCTCAGAAACTGAATTGCAATCATGCAGGTGCTCCCGATGAATGGGGGCCTCTTGATCTCACATACACATACACACAATTCAAGGGTTTTAATGTTCAATATGAAATGTTAGAAATGTCAAATAGTTTTAAATAAAAGATTGGTATTTCAAAGGCGACTCCATATGTTCTGCTCGATATCTTTAGCAACGAAGGACACAGTACTGTTACGAAAACGCGCAACAAACGGTACAGTATAAACAATTTCATAAACTGATGACTATTTCAGAAAATCATAATATCTACAATGAACTACGTATGTGGGATATATTCTGGAGGAAGATACGCTCACAAACCTGCACATATATCAGTTGTTATTTAAAGTAATAAATTGATTGCATTTTTTAAGCATTTAAGAGTTTTTGTGACCAAGGTTTGTAAAAATACGTTCGTTTATCATTTTAGTAAGTACAGTTCGAGTTAAAATTGGAATTCTGTAATATATATCTTTAACAGATTATTGGAGATTTAACTAAAGCAGAATTTAAGATTTCTTTATTAACTTAGAACATAATCATTTGAATTTATTCCATATTTCATACATTTTCCTCCATAAAAAGATTGATATTTGAAAAGCATTACTGTAAAAGTGTTCCATTGTTGTCAATAGATCAATGAATAACTTGTCATGATTAAATAACAGATAATTGAACATTGTCATAAAACACTAATTAGTTTGTTTTACAATCAACCTTTTCACCATTTTGACATTTGGTCATAAATTAAGCTCTATGTTTATTATTTAATTAGGAAAGAAATTCTCAGTAAATATTTTGATTGAAATTAAAAAAAAACAAATGTATATATATATAAAAGTAAAGTTAACATTAAGTTAAATAAGTATTAAACTTTATCTCTGTAATTTCTTTTTAGAGAAAACATAGAGATGTAAACCTTGAAACATTAAAACCAAACGTATATTGAAGAGACATGTCGAATCTTTTGAGACTTCATGTTGTTTTTCAAAATGTTTGATTTTTCTTTTCACTTGATAATAAAATTTACAATGCATTACTTTGCAAAAGTAATTGTAATTTAATGCATTACTTTGATAAATGCATGTAGGTATATCATCAGTGTTTTCGTCCTTTGGTATATCTTCAATAGTGACTGGTTGAAGTTCGCAAACTATAGCTTTAGGTGGAATGGCTATTGTACTAGTTGTTACATTTGCTATCTTAATTTTCAATATATTGTTGTTGTTATATCTGTATTGATGTATTGCTGGCTCTATATCTAAATCTTGTATATGATGATCAGATACTAATTTTGTTTGTAGTAAACAAGCTGTAGGCTTAAACGGTATTTCCTTGACGCAATATCCTTCAATAATTTTCTCGGTATTTGGAGGTATTATAATCTTTTGTATTTCTGCAGATCTTACTAAAGCTAATCTGTTTTTGTTCTTTGTAAGTTGTTTTTCTTGTAGTGATATAGTCCTGAATGTAAGATACCAAGGTGTAGTTAACTGTGCATTCTGTAAAAATCTATCTCCATGCTGTTGTTTAAGTTCTGACATCAAGGTTTCAAGTATATTAGTTCCAAGTAGTAAAGGTACATGCTGGTTATATTGACTATCTGGTATAACAAGTATCGGATAAGTTCTGTTAATGTTGTTTTTAGTTGTTATTCTTGCTTCGATAAATACTAAATATGGTAATTGAGTTCCTCCTGCACATTCAATATCCAAAAGTTTATGTAATTCCTGAAGTTCTAATGAGCTAGAAAGATGATCTTTGTAATAAGAGTATGCCAAAGTTGACACTGTTGAACCAGTATCTAAAAGTGTAGTTACCTTGTTTCCCTCTAATTCTACTGTTGATTCTGCAGGTTTTCCTAATAATCCTGGCGGTATTTCTTTAACTAAATTATTTCTAATCTTAGGACCATGTGTTGCATTTTTCCTCAAGCCTACCACCGGCCCCTGGTCATAGGCTGCCTGAAGTTTAAAGAATTCCTCTGGTGATCTAAAATTACCCGGCATCCAATCTGTAAGTGACCGTAAAGTCCACATCTATGGCACTTAGGTTCCTGTTGATATCCCGGTTGTTGTGTAGGTTGATGTTGGGTATCTTCATAGGTTGGTGTATCTGATGATTGCTGATTCCAATTACCTGCATTAGGTGGTTGCCAGTTACCAGTACCTCTTGATGATTGCCAGTTACTAGTACCTCTTGATGATTGCCAGTTGCCAGTACCTCTTGGTGATTGCCAGTTGCCAGTACCTCTTGACGGTTGACTTCTACCTCGTCCAAATCCTCTATTATTACCTCTATATCCTCTGTTGAATTGAGGTAAGTATCTTTGTGGTGTATTCTGTTGTTCCAATGAAGTAACCTTTTGTGTAAGTTGGTTTATCATTCCTACCAATTTATCATACTTCGGTTCCTCTGTAGTGATCGCTGATTTAGATGTTCCTTGCTTACTCTTAGTTTTTAGTGTATCGGTCTCTTTTGACACTGCATGATCTCTTTCAATCTGACGAAGGGCTACGCGTAAACTGTCAAAATCCTTAATGGTGTCATACTTATGACTGCTGATATCCTTCAAGTCCTGACGCAATCCCGTCCAAAGCATGGAATGAAGCATCTTGTCAACATCATTAACCTGTACCATTCCTAAATCCTGTGCTCTACCAATGACATTCTCAAGTCTGCAACTCCAACTTGTTATATCCTCATCCTCTTTCTGTCTAGCCCCATAAAATTCTGCCAATAATGCCTCTCTTTGAGCAATGTTCCCATAGATACTATCTAGCTTGTTCAGTATCTGGTTGACAGAAATGTCTGTACCAAGTCGCATAACAACTCTTCCAGCTTCTCCTCTCAATGATGTTCTCATCGCTTCCTTAATCATATTTTCCGAGTAAAGTTGTTGTTTCAATAAACATCTAATGTTGTACCTCCATAAATCAAATGTAAGTTCTCCTTTTGCATTTTCTCCAGAAAACCATGTAAGTTTTGGTGGCTGAGACATAGATGATGCCTTTTGTACAGTAGATGGATGTTGTAATGTAGATATATTCTTTGACATCAAAGGTGGAGGTGGTGGCATTGGTTTTGGTAGACCAAATATAATCCCCTTCTTAAAACTAGGTGTTTTGACATCTTTAACAGGTGTTGTTTCATCTAATTGTCCAGAAGCCTTCAACACATCAATCATCATGCCAGCTAATTGTGGTTCAATTCCTTTCTGTGGATTCTTCTTCAAATCCTCAATGTCCAGATATAAATCTCCAAATGTCTTATCCTTGGATGGAGTAACGACGACTTCCTCCAAAGACTTTCCTCCTTCTGCCCACGTTGGGCGCCATCTGTAACCAGGTTGTTTTGGTCGTATAATAAAATAAACACCTCAGGATCAATGGATTCGTTTTATTGTGTAATATAAGAAATGACCCTGCAATACAAATACAAATAATAAATACAAAGAAAGATAACTCTATTCATTCTAGGTGACAATACCTAAAATACAATACTCAAATACTTCCTACTGGACAACTATGGTTTTCCATGTTATTTACTTACAAATCTATTTACATAGAATGTTAATCATGAGAAATATTGTTCTCATCATAAATTACACATCTTAACATTTAACATATTGTATTCTACCAAATATTCTTCTGATAGTCATTTATGGGTCATTCCATTCAAATAACTAACAACATTGAATTAGTACACATAAAGCAAAGCGTACAGTAACATACCACAATAAGCTTATTAAAACAAATATTATAGCCATGCTCAAGACAAATGTTAAACACAAAAACACACATATAAACAGAATACACAACCTACCATGTATGAGGTACATAGGTCCTGTATTTACAATATGGAATCTTCTACATGACATACGAACAGTATGGTTCAAATATCTGTAATAAAAATATTATCATAACTATTTGTGTTTATAGTTTACGTATCAAATTATCAAATCATTTAATAGTTTAAAATATGTCTTAACAAACAAATTACTATTTTATATCTTTACTATTACTTCTTTTCACTAAACTGAGTAATTCATATAATTTTACTGTTTATGGCTTAAATACTTACAAAATGATTTGTTTGACTGTGTCAATTTGGTTAAACTGATTTAAACAATATTTAATATACTTTTATATGTTTTAATCTATTTTATACACCTTTTACTCTGAAATCATTCATTCTGACCATTCATACCAAATCATCTATACAATCTATTCATATCAGTATTTTAGTATGAATGTGACATATTAAGTAGAGAAAACTGACCTGATAATGGCATCAAAGATGTCCACAAATATAAATATATCAAAGCAAACAACACACAACTATACAATTCAAAGTATGAGTAAATTCTGACCTAACAATAGAATTTCCCTCCAAAATGACCATATGACTAAATTAGCCAATTATCACAAAGAAGAAAAAGTTTCACAATACAAACTAGTAAAACCCAGAGAGTAAACAAATAACCAATATATCAAAACTCACTGAGCCATGTAAAAAATCATACAATGAACATAACCAGTGGAGCATGACTAGAAACTAACTCACTAAATACTTAGAATTAAAAATATTACACTCATCAAATATATAGTATCACAATATCAAAGTATAATACAAAAGTAAAAATATCCAAATTAACACACTACCACATACTCCCCGCTGCAGGAAAAAAATGACGTCCCGTCATTTATCAGTATGTGTAGATGTCTTCAAAATATCTAAAATAGTGCGTGCTGCTTCACTCTTCATATCCACAAAAAGATCAGACTGTACCAGATCAGTAATGCAATCAATCTTCTGTTTCCACTCACTCTGAACGCTAACTGCTGACTTAGATATATCATAATCACCTGATGTATACCAAGCGGGTGGTTTTCTAGATCTAGTTGAGCGTCTGACAGGAACATTATCTGAATCATCTGACTCAAGTGAAATATCTGCCTCAGGTGTATCATCCTGTTGGCCATCACTTTCCTCTACTGGAGCGCTTTCTATGTGTACAGATTCCTCCTGCTCAGCCTGTGTAGCAGTATGGGCGTCCCCATGCGGATCTGTAGTTTTTACAGCTTCCCTGTTGTTATCTTCGAGCTGTGTTTCATCAACATCTGGATCAATTGACTCTTCAGTGATGATTCTATCACTGTCCAAATATCCATCTGAGTTGACAATGAAATGGTTTTCAGAATCAGACTCGTCTTCTGATGTGGTATCAGAATCTGAACCTTCTTCTGGTTTGTCCTGTTTCTTCAGTGAGTGTTTAATATGATCTTTTGTGGATTTATGAAGTGATTTTTCCTTGTCATAGATGAATCCAATGGGTAAAAGTAGGTTTCTATGTAATGTTCGTGTTCTTCCTGTTCCATTTTCCCTTCTTACAGTATAAACTGGTATATCTGTGTTTGGCTGAGTCATGACTTTGTATGGTTCTTCTTCCCATTTGTCAGACAATTTATGTTTTCCATCAAATGCAAGGATTCGGACCAAAACTTTATCTCCAATGCTGATATTAGCTCCTCGGACCTTGGTATCATACATCTGTTTTTGTTTTTCTCTGGCCTTTTTGGCAGCCTCTTCAGCAAGTTGGTATGCCTTTGATAAACGCTCCTTCAATTCCTTAATGCAATTCGTTGAAGGCTCAAAGTCATCCTTCCTTAATCCAAAAAACAACGACGATGGGAAGTCTCGGATTACGACCAAACATCAGTAAATAAGGTGACTGACCAGTAGACTCGTGTCTAGTGCAGTTGTATGCATGTACCAAAGGTCCAATGTATTGTTTCCAGTTGACTTTCTGGTGATTTTCCAAAGATCCAAGCATGTTTAACAAAGTTCTACTGAATCTTTCTGTCATACCGTTACCGATAGGGTGATAGCTTGTTGTTCTTGACTTTTTCATTCCTGTTAATTTACAAAGTTCTTTTATTACTTTTCCTTCAAAATTTGCTCCTTGATCTGAATGAAGTCTTTGTGGAATTCCATAATGTACAATATAGTTGTTAAATAAAACATCTGCGGTGGTTTTGGCAGTCTGATTACGAGTTGGAATGGCTTGTGCATATCTTGTGCATATCTTGTGTAGTGATCGGTTATGACAAGTATGTTCTGATATCCCCCTTTTGATGGTTCCAACGTTAAATAGTCTATAGCAACAAGTTCCATTGGCGTTGAAGTAGTGATACTTACTAATGGCGCTCTTTGTTTCGTTGTTGTTTTTCTCCTTATACAGCGACCACATTGTTCAATCCAATGTTCCACATCTTTATCCATTCTTGGCCAATAGAATCTGTCTTTTAACAATGAGAGTGTTCTTTCTTTTCCAGGATGTCCCATATCATTATGCATAGCTTCCAATACAGTTGATGCATGAGTAATAGGCAGAACTAATTGTTTCCTTATTTCTCCATCTATAGTTGTTTCTCTGTATAGGATGTTATCAATCAATCTTAGATGTTGAAATTGGCGCATAAATGGACTAGGTCCTATTTCTTTAATTCTAGGTTTTCTATTCTGGTGGACAAACTCAATCCATGGTCTGATGTCTGGATCCATAGTTTGTGCTTTTTCCCAGTCAATAATATTTCCTAGATTGGTTCCTCTGTTGTCTATATCCTCAATCACTACATCAGGTGAAATAGCTAAACTCTCAATATAAGCTGGTGGTAATGCTTTTCGACAAATAGCTTTGATGGATTCAAGCGGTATATTACATCTGTCGTTGCAATCTGTATCAGCAGGAAGACGACTTAGAGCATCTGCGTCTGCATTAGCCTTCCCTGGTCTATAGAGTATATCAAAATCAAATGCTGATAATGCAGCTAACCATCTATGTCCTGTTGCATCAAGTTTTGCAGATGTTAATACATAAGTAAGAGGATTGTTGTCAGTCATGATGGTAAATTTCGTTCCGTATAAGTAATCCTTGAATTTATCTGATACTGCCCATTTCAGTGCCAGAAATTCCCTCTTATGTGTAGCATAGTTCTTTTCAGCTTTAGATAAACTGCGACTGGCATAGCTAATCACTCTTTTGAGTCCATTCTGTTCTTGATATAAAACAGCACCAAGAGCGTCTCCAGAAGCGTCTGTATGAAGTTCATACGGTTTAGAACCATCTGCGTAGCCAAGTATAGGTGCTGATATGAGTTTTTCCTTCAGTTGTTCAAATGCTCTTTCTTGTTCATTTCCCCATTTCCATAATTTCTTTGTTTTAGTCTTGTTTTTCTGTCCTTTCTTTGTTGGTGTAGGCATTAACTCTGTTAATGGTTTTGATATCTTACTAAACTGGTGAATGAAACGACGGTAATATCCAACAAATCCTAAAAATCGACGAATGTCTTCTGGTGTAGATGGTTTTGGCCAAGATGTTACTACTTCTGTCTTTTGTTTATCTATTTGAATTCCTTCTTCAGATACTATGTGACCAACATATTTAACCTTTCGCTTGAAGAATTCGCATTTTCCTGGTGCTAATTTTAAATTTGCTTCTCTAATTTTGTCAAAAACTAATTTTATGTTGTGAAGATGTTCTTCGTAAGATTTTCCAAAAATGATGATATCGCCGATGAATATGCAACATATCTTTAAATTCAAATCGCCTAAAATTTCCTCCATGAGTCTTTGATAAGTTGCTGGTGAATTTGTTAGTCCAAACGGAAGACGGTTATACTCATAAAAACCCAGTGGTCCTACAGTGAACGCAGTTCTTTCCTTATGTTCTTCTTTGATCTCGACTTGATAATATCCCGACTTCATGTCGACAACGGAAAAGAACTTGCTGCCAGCTAAACAATCTAATAATTCCTCTATCCTTGGCAAAGCATAACTATCTTTTCTTGTCTTTAAATTAATTTGGCGGAAATCAATGCATAGTCTGAGAGATCCATCCTTTTTCTTAACAAGTAGCACGTTAGATGCATATGGTGAATGAGATGGTCTTATGATTCTATTGTTGAGAAGTTGGCGTAAATGAGAACGAACTTCATCATACATTGCGGTTGGAATTCTGCGGTATCTCTGTTTGAATGGTCTTTCATTTTCGTCAGTTAAATCTATTCGGTGTTGCACCCTATCGGTATGTCCTACATCACCATCACCTTTTGAGAAAATATCTTGAAATGAATTTATCATATCTTTTCCTTCTTGAAATTGTTCATCTGTCAAATCACTTTGCATGATATCCTTGACTTTTTCTGTAAAAAAAACAAATGTATATATATATATAAAAGTAAAGCTAACATTAAGTTAAATAAGTATTAAACTTTATCTCTGTAATTTCTTTTTAGAGAAAACATAGAGATGTAAACCTTGAAACATTAAAACCAAACGTATATTGAAGAGACATGTCGAATCTTTTGTGACTTCATGTTGTTTTTCAAAATGTTTGATTTTTCTTTTCACTTGATAATAAAATTTACAATGCATTACTTTGCAAAAGTAATTGTAATTTAATGCATTACTTTGATAAATGCATGTAATTGTAATTGTAATTTAATGCATGGTTTTGTCAAAGTAATTGTAATATAATGCATTACAATGCAATGTAATTCGCCTCATGCCTGACTGATGGCATGCATTGAAAAGATGTTGACTATGTCGGCTTCTGAAAATTTGTACAGGGTGCAATTCTGGATAAAGAGAGACCAGAATTTGATGGGATTCTCATCTCTTCCCTGAAAAGGCTTCAGAGTGATGTTTCCCATGTGTCTTGATCCACGTTCTGGTTGCTGTTGACCATTAGTTTGTACTGGCTTGGACACCTGTGTCATCTGGGGTTGCGACTGTTGCAGTTGCCTTTGAAGCTGCAGATGGTGTTCCAAATTTTGAACCTGCAGTTTAAGTTGTTGCTTTTCGTAATCTTCCGGTCTGGGTGGAAATTGTAGGTGTTGTGTTGACAGGGGTGTCGATGATTGTGTTGGCGATTGTGTCAACTGTTGCGTCAACTTTTGCATCAATTGTCGTGTCCTGTCAATCAAGGACTTGTTATCCGGTGTTTTATCAGCATTGACCGGTGTGGTGTCCACTGACACCGGTGGCACTGCTGGTCTTACTGGTATGACTTAAATTTTTGACATATCTGAAAAAGTTGTTCCCTTACTTCTTAGCCGGTAATCATTCATGGGTTCCTTTCCTTTGTAATTTGTTGGTGTTGTCATGGTTAAATTAGTTGCTTCGGGACTTTCGGGCCTCCACCAAAATTATCAGGACCTTTATTTGTCTCGTTATCTTTAGACGGACCTGCAATCTTTGCCGTGGTTTGGCTTGAAAAACAGAAAAAAAATTCTGATGTTATTTTATTTGCTTCAACACCGAAGTCATATAATACAATTAACAATACATAATGATATATACAAACATAGAAAATATAGTCAAAGAATAACTGAAGAACTTTTCATAATATAAGATAAATACGCGGTTGACCTTATGAGGTTAATATCCTTAATTATGTAAATAAGTTGTCCATTTAAACTTGATAATAGAAAGACAATTTCTGTCTTGTCTATATAATCAAATATTGCATTTATTGTTTATTACACTACCACAACTTTGCGTAAACATTTAAACCAAGTAATTTTATGATTTGAATTAACTTTGCTTTTGAATAAATAATAATAAAAAACTTTAAATAAAATAATTTGACTAATCTATTGAAAACAGAATCGAAGTTTCTGATGTTATTTTTATTGCCTCAACACCGAAGTGCTGGGCATTGGGCGGCACAGGTTTATATAGTAGTTTCGTTAGCAATAAATTGAGGTTCATTTAAGTATCTCATTTATGATTTATACTAAAAGATTATTATAATTTCTTCTCTAGTTTCCTTCTTTTCTCCTCACATTTTTGTTGTTTGAAACACCTAAGTGACCCCTACCTAATGTCATAGAGTCATTTTATACCTCGTTTAATATTTTTTGTCAGCAAAAAAGAATAAGTTTAATTCATTGTCTTTATATAAAGTCTATTTCGAAGCTGCAATTATGATTAATAGTGTTTTTGATTTATATTCGTTCATTATTGTTGACGGAAATCATTTTTATATTCCCGATAGATTTAGAATAAGAAGTTCATCAAGTTGTTGTGTAAACAACATACACGTATGTCTAGGTAACCTGGTCAATTAGGGTTCTTTGTTCTGTCCAGCAAAGATCTTTCCACGCCCCTTTTTACCCCAAAATATCAGAGTAACTAAGGTGGTTTGGGTGTTTAACGAATCTGATTGGGCGAACCTGAAACAGTAACGTGAAATTGAATAAGTGAATTTCGGTCTCAAAAGTGGCACTTTCACATGCGCTTTTGAAGAAAGAAGATCGAAAAAAACCATTTCACTGTGTTTGTTTTAACTGTTTCAGGTGAGTCAAGTATTTTATTTATTCAAAGTAAATATACTTCGTTTAATCATTTTTCTTTAAGTGTTTCTTTCGTTATTTATTCAATGTTTTACGTTCGCATGTTGGAAATGATAATTTTAACTGATCGCTTGTTCATACTTAATAAGAATTAAGGTCAGTTCCGCAAGGGTAAGATGTTGATTATTTAAGAAACGATTTTTGCGTAATTTCCACATGAGTAGGTTAATTTAATAAGTAATTATTTATCGTAAACTAGTCTTGTCGTTTATCCCTATATCGTCAATACGAGTCATGAATTTTTGATAAAAGCAAGCATGTATGTTTTAAAGCTAGTTTCCCCATTTCACATATGACTGTTTCATATTCATAAAATTTGGATATTCACGATTAGTTTTGTAATGCTAGGTTTGTCTCAATTTCGATTATTCCAACCAATGCTCATTGTCGGAATTGATTAAATTTGGGTTAATAGGTTTTATATAGTTTAAGTTTTTACAAGCGCAATATTAGCTCTACCATGTTTATCATTCAAAAGATAAAAGATTTCAACATGTTTATACATGTTCATTGTTAAGATATTTATGTATTCAACACTTTATGTTGTTCAGCACATGCTTTATGCTCTCTTAGGTTCAAATACCATGTCACGCATTATGCTCATACGTTTAATATTTAGTCCGCATCTTGCTCATATATTTGAATGCTAAATAAGCTTTTATTTATTAGAAATATTATAAGCATACGTGTTCGTCTTTTAATATGCATATGCTCATGCATTTACGTAAAGTTTGTTTAGTTCAATACTTAAAATATTAATTGATCATTTATGATTGAAAATTATATGAATTATATGTTTCTATTATTTGCATTATATACTATTATATTGTTATTAATTGTATATGACTTTCACATACGCTTTTGAAGAAAGAAAGATCGAAAAAATCATTTCACTGTGTTTGTTTTAACTGTTTCAGGCCCTTGCTCATCCCCCTTTGTCCGCAAGGTGTGCTGTTGGTTAAGTCCAATCATAGCAGTCAAACGACAGATCATTTAACCCAGAAAGTCAACTCTGATAATAATCTAAATGGTCATCGCTCATTTTGTTTGATCTCTTCTGTAATTAGTTGTAACTGGGTTAAGATCAATCCATCTATCAATTAAATTATATGTGTATTCGATATCACCTAGTCCAAGAAATGGGAAAAAAAGAAAGATGTTAAAGCCACCTGAAAATTTTCTTTCTTACAAATTCTATTTTTTTTTTAAATATTTTACTGACACAATAACAGGTCTTCCAATATAATACTAGTGATTCAATATTTTACAAAAGAAACTTGACAATTTTCATTTCTATTACCCAGACACCTATACATCTTACCATTTTTAACAATAAAAAATATTTGTGCCGAGTAACATGACCCTAGGGACCCATCCAATATATATCATTCAATTCATCCTGATATTACAACCAAGAAAATGTACAGTTAGGGGTGGGGATCTCAACCATTTACGAAATATTTGAACATTCCCAAATGACAGGGATGACCAATGAGAACCTAACCTTTCTATCATCCAATTCATCTTAACATGTCAAACAAGAAAATATATAATTAAGTGGTGAGAATCTGGCATGCATGGAATCATTACATACACGGAATAAAGTTGACCTATTGATTATAGTATTTGATAATAAACAGACAAAGCAATGAAAACTTAACATTGACCAATGAACCATGAAAATAAGGTCAAGGTCACATGAATCCTGCCAAAAGGACATGTACACCTTACAATCATTCTATACACCAAATATATTTGACTTATTCCTTATAGTATCTGACAAATAGACTAAATAAGAAAAATAACATTGACCAATGAACCATGAAAATGAGGTCAATATCAAACGAAACCTGCCAGACAGACATGTTCATCTTACAATCATTTCATACAAAAATATAGTTGACCTATTGTTTAGAGTATCTGAGATATGAACTTGACCACGAAAACTTAACCTTGGTCACTGATCCATGAAATGAGGTCAAGGTCAGGTGAACCTTATCTGACAGACATGTAGGCCTTGTAAATAACCCATATAACAAATACAGTTTTTCCTAGAACTCAGAATAAGATAGAAATTTTCATGACAAAAAAAAAACTTTTTTTTTTCAAGCAGTCGCTGAACAATGAAAATGAGGTCAAGGACAATGAACATAAGACGGACGGAAACTTCGTAACATAAGGCGTCTGCATACAAGGTATGATGAACCCACCTTCTGAAATATTAAGCTTTATAAAAATTGTTTACACTATTCCACTAGTAATCCCTAAACATTGTCCTTTTATGGCCAAGAAACATGACCGCCATGACTAAAAAAGAACATGGCTTATATATATCTCAAAACACTAAAGCAGTAAAGCCAAAGTGACATGGGTTAAAATGGTAAGCATGTTAAAATCAGTCTGCCACGAAATTTTCAGACAAATCGTACAAATTTGTCCACAAATCCTTTTGAAAGAAAAAAAACACTTACAAATACATAATTTGTACAGAAAATGTATACATAGTGACGTGTCCTTGAGTCTCATGAAATTTTCTCTCAAAACGTTTAAATATAATAATTATGTCAGAATGCGAATATATATGTTCAAACTCTTTTAGGTCATTTTTAAGTAACAACAAACAAAAGAACTATTTCAATTGGACCTACTTTTATACGATAACTCCAATGAATTTTCACTAGATAACATTTTGGTTCGCTATGGAGATTCCGTATATCGTCAAGTTATCGAAATTCCAATGGGGACTAACTGTGCACCACTTATTGCGGACATGTTTCTGTATTGTTACGAGTTACAATTTATGACTAAAATCAGCAAAGACGAATCGAAACAACATCTGATACAAACATTTAATAACACTTTTGGATATAAGGATGATATATTGGCTCTCAATAATGACGACTTTAGTATGTACACTAAAGAGATTTATCCTGCTGAACTGACTTTAAATAAAGCTAATACTAACAATGAACACTGCCTTTCCTGGATCTTAATATCTATATCTTTAACGGGAAGCTTAATACCAAAATTTACGATAAAAGAGATGATTTTTCATTTCCTATTGTTAATTATCCATTTTTAAATGACAACGTTCCCTTGTCACCATCTGATGGTGTTTATATATCTCAACTTGTTCGATTTGCTCGTGTATGTAACAACGTATTTGATTTTAACGAAAGAAATCCCTGTATTACTGAAAAATTATAACACCAGGGTTTTCGATATTGTGATAGCGATAATTTGTGTAAATTGTGCATCTTCATTTGGAACTATTTGAGAAGAGTATTTTTCTTAAATCTGATATTTTTTAACTTTCACTGACAAAATGTTCGGTCATTAAATGTCATTATATTGTTAAACTAATTATTATTTTATCGAAATCATTTTATTTGCAATATTTGTCCGTCAAAGTAATTTTATTATGAATTTTCTTTATAAAGCTTTTTGTGTTATAAGTAACAATTAAGTGTCAGTATATTTTCACAAAGTCAGATATTTGTTTCAAGATAATATTTTTGATAAATACCAAAAGTTAGGCATGTCTGGGTTCAAACAGATAAAAGGGGAATTAGGAGAAATGTGTAAGTAGGTCGAAAATACAATACACGAGGATACTTTGTCTATGAAACTAAACTATGACATCTGATCTGCAAAACCTACAAACAGACACAGAAGAAATTTTATCAAATAGTGAAATATAAGATTGATTGCACCTTGTATGGATAGTTCCGACACGTGTTACATGTGGA